AGTAATTATTCTTCCAACAGTAAAAGGTCAAAAAACGCCCTTAAAAGTACTAAAAAGTGACATTTTCAAATTTTTGCCCATTTTATTCAATCGCGAATATCTCGTAAACTAAAAGAGATAATTAAGATCTGATCGCAGCGTCTTAATCTACGGACTATTCTCTATTAGATAGGATAGTTAAAACCGAAATCTGAGAGATGAAATTTTAATTCTTAAGAAAAAATTGCCAAGGGGGGGTGCTTGATACTTTTTTTCGACGATTTTCGATAATTAATATCTCTTAAACTAAAAGAGATAGCAACCAACGAATTGTTGATTATGAAAGATTGGAAAATTCGCTATTAGATAAAAATATAAAGTAATCATATTTCCAACAGTAAAAGGTCAAAAAACGCCCATAAAAGTACTAAAAAGTGACATTTTCAAATTTTTGCTCATTTTATTCAATTGCGAATATCTCGTAAACTTAAAGAGATAATTAAGATCTGATCGCTGCGTCTTAATCTACGGACTATTCTCTATAAGATAGAATAGTTAAAATGGAAATCTGAGAGATGAAATTTTATTTCTTAAGAAAAAAATGCCAGGGGGTGCTTGATAATTTTTATCGACGATTTTTAATAATTAATATCTCTTAAACCAAAAGAGATAGCAACCAACGAATTGCTGTTTATGAAAGATTGAAAAATTCTCTACCATTTATCTATGCTTGTGCATAAACAACTTTTTATCGTTTTGAACCAGTCCCATGTTGCGTTCGTGCTGCGATCGTTCGAACGTATCAGTCTGTTCTTATTTGCACGGGGTAGGCATGCCTCCTTTCTTTCATTTCAATTCAATGAAATGCATTTTAACGTTAATTGTCGACATAAATATCGGCCCGTAATGGTACTAAACTATTTAGTGTTTAACTTATATTTATTTGTGCGTGAAACGATCATGAAATTCGAGTTTTCAATGTGCGAAAATATTGCTTGTAATACAAGACTCTATCCGACGGGTAGACTCAATAAGTGAACTAACATACCTACGTGTTTTTTTTCTGTTTCAGTGCTTCTTTTGATTATCCAATGTCCCGGTAAGATGTTTAATATTATTATATCATTATTACATAACTATATTTAGTCGCGTGTAACGAGATACCGTAATCGTCGTAAGTCTAAATTGTCGCATGCCGACGGATGCATTTTTAGTTTCGCTTTAGAATGTGGGTGTCACTGTTTTTCTCAGCTCGCATTGTTTTTTTGCATTCAAAATTCTGTAGTCGTGTTGATACTTTTATTAGTTTGAAAATTAATTAAAGTCTGTGAAATGTATGTATATCGTCATTTTAATATCTTGTCGCGGGGTTGTGTGCGGTGCCGTCGGCTGGCACTTCTCCAAGTTTGTACCGTGTCAGGCGATCGCGTCACAAAGTAAATCTCAAAATGCAATATAATTCATTATGGTGTTTTATTAATATAAAAGATATCTTTTTTAATACTGTCATTTCCTTTTTGTAACATCCTGTATGTTTGCTTCCCTTGATCAAACAAGAATTTTTAAAATTTGTTGTTTTTGTATGTTTTCCACTTTATTGTGGAATTTTCTTTTTATACCTTGTCATTTTTCTTATGTATCACCCTGTATATTTAGTTTTCTTGATTTCCAGTCAATAATTGACTACATTCGTGGTTTCCAGATGTATTACTCTGAATCATAGAATAATATTTTTAAATGTAGTAATTTTTCTTCTGTATCACCCTGTATACCAGTTTTTCTTGTTTTCTTATTAGACACTGACCGAGTTTGTTGTCCTGATGTTTTCTTTTTTGAACTGTATATTTTCTCTCTGTATCACTAGGTATATTACTTTTAATTACCATCCTGGTTAAAGTGGGAAAAGTTTATTGTTGCAACGTACTGTTTTTTTTAATCATTGGTTTTCTTTTTGTAACACCCTGTATATTAATTGCATGTATTAATTGCTCTTATTTTTCCGATTTTAATACTTTATCTTACAGCGAATATTTAATTTAGGCGCAGAGTTGTGAACACCAATTATTTAATTAACTAAGGTATACAGTAAACTTTTACGAAGGCTCAATCATATTACACCCGAAAGCCAATAAATTCTTTTCGTATGCCGAGAAGTATTGAAAGTAAAAGTAAATTTCGTGTATGTGCATTTCAACATTGTGAATTTTTAGTTTCGTCTTCTCAACTACGTGTTTATCAGTACGTTTGTGTATAAACAACTTTTTTTGTTCGACTGACGCGTGATACCGCTGCATACCTGCCTTGTACCCGGCTACGCGCAGCGCACACGGCAGTTGTTTCACCGCATGGTCCGCGAGCGTGCCTCTCTAATCGCCACGCGTTTTGAGGTTTTAATTGGATTAATCGTCGTGTATTCTTTCGGCCCTCGGCAAAATATTCGCAATGGGCATGTGTGCCTGTTTTGTTTAATGATTTATAGCGGTTAGATTCTTCTTAAGTATGAAATAAGTATCCGTTAATCCCTGCGCGTGTGTCGGTTGATAGAATATATTACAGGGTAGAAAATCTCCTGATCAATGCACAGGTAGGTGGATAATTAAAAATTTTCGCGGAAAGTTAATACGGTTTAACTTAAATTGATTATTCAAATTGAGGGATATTAATTTTGTAGATTACAAACACGTGGTGCAATTTTTATCAGAATTCTTCTTAGTCGCGTTTCCGAAAATAACATGCTTGATTCAATTATTACTAGCACGGTTTTTAAATTATCTGAGGATTATTAAAATGACAATATTCATGTGGTCGACCACGCTTACTTTGCCGTCGGCCGTCGGCCGTCGGTTTGGTCATGTTTTTGATGATCACGTAAACATTTTTAATCGAATTGCATCATTAAATTAATAATTTCTTGTTGAAATAAAATCTTGAACGGTGAATAGTTTTTCGTTTTCGCAGCCTAAGTATATCTTAATATTTACAAAGAAATAGTTATTTTTATCATCTTTAACCACTCTGTTGCTACGCGCCGTCGCTTGCAGTCTGTTGATTTAGATTTTAGATGTTTTCTGCCGGATATTCTATCAATTTATGATGATGCGACTACCCGTCGGTTACTTTATACAGTTGATGCTACTATCAATTAATAAATATATATTTACAATATATTAAAATGTAAGTGTTTTATTTTTGTAGCACTCTATTGCTCAATTTTCCGATGTTTTTCGGGTAAAAACTCTGATTTTATATTAAAATATTGTTGTTAATTTCTTCTTGAATTACCCTATGTATTAATTATCCGTGCTCTCTAATGACTAAATTTATCGTTTCCGGGTCGTTTTCTATTTAAAATTTGTATTTTATTTTTAAATGTAGAAATTTCCTATTTGCAACACCCTGTATGTTGATTTTCTTGATTTCCTATTATAAGTTTTCTAAATTTGTTATTCCCGAGTGTTTTCTTCTTTGAACTATTGATTTTCTTTTTGTAACACCCTATATATTTGTTTTCCTTAATTTTCTATCAAAAACTGTCTATATTTAGTGTTTCCTTTTATTTTCCTTCTTGAACTTGGCATTTTCTTTTGTGATGTAGTAATTTCCTTTTTGTAACACCCTGTATATTAGTTTTCTTAACCGCAAGTAGAAAATGACCTTTAGTTGTAAGTTTTGAGTTTTCTCTGTTTTGAACTTGGAATTTTCTTTCTAGAACACCCTGTATATATGTTTTTTGTGTCCGTGAAAATTTAGTTTTAACTGTTGTTTTTAGGTTTTTCTTCTTTGCACTTTGAATTTTCTTTCTGGAACACCCTGTATATTAGTTTCTGATCCTCGGGTGAAAACGAATGATATTTGTAGTGTTAAAATGTTTTTCTGTTTTCACATTAAATTTGTCATTTGTAACACCCTGTATATTTGTTTCCATTTTCAATTATCTAGATAATTGGCTATTTACTAATTTCATTATTCCGGTATAACTTTATGAAGTAGTACTTGCTAATATATGTGCGGGGCTTAGCAGGTCGTAAGTACGGTTTCAATATGGCGACATGTATTCTGTTGACATGTAAAATCTAAACTTGTATTCTATTGTTAATAAATAAATAGTAAGATATATTGACTTCTTTGATTTGTGTGTTCGCCTTCTATCATTTCAGAAACAGGTCTCTAAGAGGGTTCCCTCTCTCAGGGGATGATCCCCTCTATAAAAATTGTTAAGGTAACCTGTATGATTTGTGTACTCCTTCTTTCATTTCAGCAACAGGTCAGAACTTGTAAGAATATTTTTATGTGTCGCCTCTCTTGAGATGACTTAAAACTTAGAAATATTTAAACAAGACCTTATAAGGATTGTCCTTATAAGGAGTTCCCTCTCTCTGGGGGTGATCCCCCACCATAAAAATTGTTGATATGCCTGATAATTTCGGGGATGAAGCGCAGAGACATCGTAGCTGTAGGTTGGGCCGGGAGCAATGGACGCATCGAAGCAGTGTGACTGTCTTATAACGACACGTGCCAAAAAAATTAAAAATCTGATCCACTCCTGACTCCTGTTGCTCTTTCTTCTATGTCCTCCTCTTCTCTACTCTGTTCTCTTCCTTCTGTTTTCTACTCTTCTCTGCTGTTCCTTCTTCTACTTCTCCTATTTCTCCACTTACTCTTTCTTCACTTCTCTTATTGCCTTCACTTGCATTGCAATTTCTCTTATATATTATTTGAGTTTACATATGCAACCCAAATTACACCTGTTATTTTTATATTTGAGAAAAATGCCTTCTAAACCTGAGATTCGATCTGTGTCTACTAGCATGCTAGCAGGTGCACGTACCCACTCGACCACCGAGTGATTTTATCGTTGTTATTTGATTCTTCTATTTAGGATTCTACTTTTTAAAAACAACAACACAACAACAGCTATACATTGTACACGCTCGACGCACTTAAGATTTATATGGAATATGATTCAAGACATCAATCCTGCAAACGGCAAAGGGAAGCCAGAAAAAATATTAAGAAGTATATAATATTACATTATGTTTTATTAGCAACATTAAAAGCTACATACATTTCTTTAAAATCGAAAATCATAGACAGCTCTTAAATCTCCTGAAAGTAAAACTTGCCTTGTAATACGCGCATCTCTAACATTTCTGCGAGGGAAGCGGTAGACTCCTTGGCACAAGTGCTCCTAAACTTCTTCAACAGGCATCAACGTTGTTTATTTATATTAATTAAACATAAATCCAAGTTATTATTAAGTATGTGTGGACACGCAGGTTATTTACACATAGGTTAACACGAGTGCAATGTAATTCCACAAGCGAAAAACAATCACCGACGGCCGACGGAACATCACACGCGCATAGGTGAACCACCGATAACTCCGCGATTGATGAACATTCAACGCATGCTATCTCACTAGCAAAACCACATTCACATCCGATTTCAGTAAATGCCGTCAATTGTTAATTGAACATTCCGCAATTTATCTAATTATGATTTGAAGAACAAAAAGTAGTCGCAATGAAAACGCGCGATTCACTCGACAACCGAAATGGAACTGCGTATGCCTTGAGTTGCACACAGCCGACAGCAACTGCACGAGGTCACTATCGCTGTTGAGATACGCACGCTGAAAGCAATAAAAAAACTTGTTTACATTCATTCATATGCGTGTATTCTAGCCCACCTAAGAATACTTTACAATACTGCAACAAAATATGTATTATTTTATAGAGAATAGTCCGTAGATTAAGACTCTGCGATTCGTTCCTTTCTATCTCTTTTAGTTTACGAGATATTCGCATTTGAAATAAATCGTTAAAAATGGAAAAATTGCAATTTTTAGCAGTTTCAGTCACGTTTTTAGACCGTTTACTCCTTTTACGACCAAGAATTAAATTCTACATCATTAGGGACCCCGCTGATGTTAAGGGGCAGCCGCATTCAGGTGATTACCCCGAAAACAAGCAAAAATTAGTCCTTGGAAACATGAAAACGCAATTTTTGTTGCTAATTAATTAACAAATCACTAAAGTTATTATTGAAAATGATAAAGAAATTCAATACTTACAATCTGATACAACAATGGTGCTCCTACGAAGTCGGGCTCAGGTGTAAAACCCCTAAAACAAGCCAAAATCAGTCTTTCGAAACACAAAAATGCAATTTTTGTTGCTAATTTACAAACTAATCATTAAAGTTATTTATGAAAATGATTAAGAAATTCAATACCTACAATCTGATGAAGGAATGGTTCTCCTACGATGTCAGGTTCATGTGCAAAATTCTAAAATGCTAAAATTAGTCTTCCGAAACACAAAAAATGCAATATCTACAATCTGATTGCTAATTATCAAACTAATTAGTCTTTCAAACACAAAATGCAATTTTGTTGCTAATTATCCAAAGTTATTTGTGAAAATAATAACGAAATTCAATACCTACAATCTGATGAAAGAACGGTTCTGCTACGATGTCAGGTTCATGTGCAAAATTCCAAAAACAGGCAAAAATTAGTATTTCGAAACACAAAAATGCAATTTTTGTTGCTAATTAATAAGCTAATCACTAAAGTTATTTATGAAAATGATAAAAAATTCAATGCCTACAATCTGATGAAAGAATGATTCTACTACGATGTCAGGTTCATGTACAAAATTCCTTAAACAGACAAAAATTAGCATTTCAAAACACAAAATGCCATTTTTGTTGCTAATTAATAAGGTAATCACTAAAGTTATTAATGAAACTGATAAAGAAATTCAATACCTACAATCTGATGAAAGAATAGTTCTCCTACGAGATCAGGTTCATGTGCAAAATTCCTAAAACAGGCAAAATTAGTATTTCGAAACACAAAATGCAAATTTTCTGGCTAATTATTAAACAAATGACAAAAGTTATTCACGAAAATGATAAAGAAATTCAATATCTACAATCTGATGAAAGAATAGTTCTCCAACGATGTCAGGTTCAAGTGCAAAATCCCAAAACAAGCCAAAATTAGTCTTTTTAAATACAAAAATGCAATTTTTGCTGCTAATTTACAAGCTAATCACTAAAGTTATTTATGAAAATGATAAAAAATCAATACCTATAATCTGATGAAAGAATGGTTCTCCTACGATGTCAGGTTCATGTGCAAAACCCCTAAAACAAGCCAAAATTAGTCTTTCGAAACATAAAATGCAATTGTTGTTGCTAATTAATAAGCTAACCACTAAAGTTATTAATGAAAGTAATCAAGAAAATCAATACCAACAATCTGATGCAAGAATGGTTCTCCTACGATGTCGAGTTCAGGCCCAAAATTTCAAAAACACGCAAAAATTAGTTCTTCGAAACATAAAAATTAATGCAAACTAGACAGTAGCGCAACCTAGGTGAGTAATTTCAAACTAATGAACGGTAAACTACGTCAGCGCCATCTAGTTGTTGTGGAAGTTACTACGTCAATTAAAGCAGGAAACTGCAACGGAGCTAGAAACATCCAATTGCTAAAGCAAATTTAATAAAGCATTTAAAAAATAATACTTACAATTTGTGTCAAGAATTACTCTCCTGCATGGTTCCGTTCACTTTCTAGAGCTCTAAAACAAAAAGAAAGCAATGTTTTGAAACACAAATAGGCTGCTTATGGGTTCACCTTTAGAAAAGTACAAAACTAAGTAGTGAATATAATAAAGAATTACAATGCTTACTATGTGATACAAGAATGACTATCCTGTGAAGTCCCATGCAATTTCCAAAGCCCGAAAACAAGTAAGTTAATCTCAATTTTATAAACTGAGAAATGGAACTGTTGTTATAACGTGCAACCTGCGGTGCAATTCTCTTATAAACTGAGCTGTTATTTAAATTCTATTCTGACAGAAACATAGGTTTGCGCAAACGCTTATCGTAAAGGGCAACACTAGCACTAGTTAGGTTTATATATAAAATGAATTCAAAACTGGAAATGTTAAATAAAACTAAATATACAACGAGCGATGCGTACTAGCCGGCGATCAAAACCAAACTAGTTTCAAAACGTGTTCGCTGTTGTTTACATAGTGCGAAATACTGATAAGCGACTATCGATGTAAACATTTTAAAATGTACGAAGCTATTGGTAATTTGATAGTAAAATACGAATTGTTTTCTAACTGCTACTCACATTTAAGACCATTCCAAGTGGGACTAAACTCAATGTTAAAAACCCTAGTGTTTATAGTACAGGGCAGTGTTACGCGTTGCATTGCACTTGTTAAACGCGATAAACGAAAAACGTTATCACACGGAAACGTCTCGCGGTGAACTGCCAGGTATCCTCCTTTGAATGGTGCAAATTCTTGTTCGGGTAACTCCGACACCATTCGTACACACGAGTTGAATATTAATAAATATTCGCGGGAAATTTATTCAACCTAACCAACGCATTCCGCTGTTCTCGCTTAACTCTATTAAACAAACTTTAAGTCCACTAAAACACAACTTCATTCAGTTCCAAATTAATAAAAAAAATGGACGAAACAACGAAAATGATAAGAAAGCTCCACAATGCTTTTAAACTTAGTGGATACAATATACGCAAGTAGGTTACCAAAATCCAATATAAAAACTTATACTAAATCAAAATTCATGTTTTTCTAGGGATTTATGTGAGCTAATTGTTGTCAAGTTTGCTGCAGAGCATATGAATCTATACACTCCAGAAGTATTTGATGAATGTTTAAAAATGTATCTAGCAGCTTGGAGAAGCAAGCCATTCATGATAAAAGTATTGAAAGAGAAAACATTGAGAGAGCAATTGAAGTCTGCATAAATTCCGGCTGTGACAAACATGAAACAATTATCAATGTGATCAATGCTTTTGATTTTCCCAAATTTACATATAATCCAGACAGGAAGAGATATACTCCAAGCACAACAAAACCCAAACTATTATCAGGTCCAGAAAGCAAGGCATCATTATTTCTAGAAAGATACTCAACAATTCTACAAAGAACTCAAAGAAACTTCAAAAACAAATTAGTATCACAAGCAGACCAGCTACAACTACAAACTGTTGATTATTTACTCACTTTATCACACTGCACATTGGAGAAAACAGTTATTTTAGGTTCTTTGTTCATGATATCAGAAGGAAAATTTGTTCTTGAGGATCCCACAGGAATTGTTGAGCTAGATCTCAGTCATGCACAATACCATGGTGGATTTTTTGTTGAAAATACTTTTGTATTGGTTAATGGTGTGTATGATGATAGGAAACTCATGGTATCCACCATTATTTTACCTCCAGGCGAGGAATACAAGACTTCAAGGCTGAGTTTTGCAAATCTAAATTACTTTGGTGGAGAATCACAACTTTTACTCAGAGAATCATCATCATTAAAAGAATATATGCATAGATTACCAAATGAGATGATGTTGATGCTTTCTGATTTATGGCTTGATCATCCTCAAGTAAGTTTATACATAAATCTAAGTTAAAATTTAAAAAACACTTATTTTGTTTAGACATTTGAAAAATTAGAAACATTATTTGGTGGATTGGAAGAAAACCCACCGATAGCTTTCATTCTAATGGGAAACTTCATGTCAGAATCCCACGGACTTGAAAAAATCGACGTTCTTAGAAAGTTATTCAAACAACTGGGTGAATTAATCGCCCGTTTCAAGAACATCGTAGCAAATTCTCATTTTATTTTCGTACCTGGCATGTTGGATCCATGTACGCCCCATATTGTACCCAGATTACCACTTCCGAAGTTCATTACAAACGAAATCTCCAAACACGTTCCAAAGTCGTGGTTCGCAACGAATCCATGCCGTCTTCAGTATTGCAATAAGGAAATCGTCCTGTTTCGTGCCGATGTCCTCGTAAAAATGATGCAGGGCACATTGCATAAGCCTCAGAAGGATGACATCAACAATTATGTAAGATATTCGCTAGAAACTAAATAAATACAAGATTTATTGTGCATTTCTTCAGATAACAAGAACAATTGTAAGCCAAGGACATCTCAGCCCGCTCTCATTGAACGCCCTAACAGTTAATTGGGACTTTGATTACACTCTACAGCTGTATCCACTTCCTGACCTGGTTGTGATCGGTGATAAATCAGAAATGTATCAGGGAGAGTACATGGGATGCAAAGTTATGAATCCGGTAAGTATTTACAAAGTAAAATCCTATAAATCACATGTACATGTTCTCCTAAATACATTTCAGGGCTCATTTTGTGATTCAGGATTTCAGTTTAAGTGTTACACACCCGGCTTGGATACCATCGACGACTGCGCGTTGTAATTTTGTTAATTTATTTGTAAATAAAGGTAACATAGAGACTTTAAATTATAATTCAATCAATTTTTTTCACTAGTTAGTACTTTTCTTCGCTTATCTAGAGTAAATCAAATGTTTATCCTAATATATACATTGATCGACTTGAATCTCCACGAAAATTTACTATCAAATAGTTTGTTTTCATGTTTCAGTTTAAGTTTTCCGGGTGTTCGCGATGAGGAACACACCATTGCATTGCAGTGTATACAAAATAGATAATCAGTTTGCGTGAAATTTACATATATGTATAAAGTATAGTCTTCTTTGAGATTGCTTTGATAATTGAAATTAAAATTAAGTTGAATTGTAGCTACTAATACATCACTCACCCGCGCATCATTCCTTGTGACTAATGTTCATCACAGTCATCACTGGTCCAGCAGCATAATACTATTCTTACTCTCACGATCGCTCTAATAATTAGATTATTATGCAATTTGCACTTACAGTAGGTAATTCAAGTTATTTTTTTGCTTGCTTTTTGTGTGTTTAGTTTTTTGACGCACTAGTTTTAAAATTACAATATAATCGATGTGTGGGTCAGTGTTGACAATAACTTACGCGTGTACAATATGATAAATTCCGGCCAAACAAAACAACACATTGATCCGCACGGAAAACACAGTTAATATTCATTACTTATCACATGTCTGCTTAGTTCGTCAGACTTTTAATCAGTAATCGGTTGGTTACGCGGCCAAAGGCATCCATCATTTCATCAGTTCTGTTTTATTACCTGGAAAGCAAACCAAATGATGTTATTTTAGTCGCGGGAGACAACAATGATTCATAGTTGAACCTTGCACTTAACACTTATTGGAATTTAACAATATTAATAATAAACAACTGCTTTCTAATGTACTTACGTTCTTTTTCGTATAGCCTACAAGCTTGTTCCCTTTCATGGGCATCGAAGTACCACAGCGTGATTGCGTAACGTGTGTAGAAGGCCGGTTGCACTTCGTGCGGGTTCCGGCGATCCGACCAGAAGAACAATAATCTATCAAAAATTGGTTCGATGTCAGCAACCTGAAAATATAAAAATTATTCAATAAATTAATAGAATCAAAAACTAAAACAATATTATTATACCTTATCATCTCTCCAACCTTCCGGGAATATCCGAAGTAAACCTCCGCTTCTTCTCACGTCCCAATCAAGATTCAAATAGTAGATTGCTGTTATGCAGCGGCCATCTCGATTTGGATTGTCCACGTGTTTCACATAGTGCGATCCAGAACCAGGGTAACACGCAACCATCGCCTGAAATATTCCACGATATTTTATTATTATTATTATATAACAATTGCATTTGTGACATTTAAAGTCAAGTGGGATTGAATTACAACAAAAACCACAATCATCGTTTATCATTATGAGCATCGTCCGATGATTAATATCGTAAACAAAAACCCGACACGCAATAACACATCAACAAAAATCGCTATTAGTTTAGCACTCGACAGCACCGAGTGCCCCATTCATCGAATTAATTTATTAACATGATAATGGAATTATCTTCAAATATTCAAAAAATCCACAACAAGTGTATCCTGTTGAATTTTGATCACGGAAATTCGGTTTAAAGTTTAAACGGCTAAACTCGACGATAATTTACGTTGAGAAAACAAAACGCGCGTTTGTTTACATTTGATTCCGCACAATTTCGCATTTGTTTACATTTTTTTCGTAATTTATTGCTGCGAATGCAGATTACGCGCTAGGCGAACACAATTTTTGTAGCGCTGTAGCAGTGAACTAGAGAAATTCGCGTAAAATTGGAGCAAGTGCGCGAATTTTACATCGGCGAAACTCAAGTGTGCAAAAGTAGCCGCGCGCGCACAAGCCAGCCGCGCCGGCGGAACATTGCCTACGTGACTTGCCGCATGCCCGGTGAAAAACGCGAGCGAGAAGACTGCGGTCGGCGCGAGCGAGATGACGCAATGTAAACATTTATTTTTAAATGTACCAGGAGAAGTAAATAAAACAACACCGACGTCTTACAACATTTTGGAATGATTTAAATTCGCAAGAATTATTAACATTAAATCAACCACCATCAGCTGATGGTAAAAATAAAAATTTATTATTCTTACCTTAGTCCTGCCATTAATATTGTAGTTGCCAAGTTTACCATTATCCTGCATCTTATTCGCCCGCATGATGAGAGCGTCCACCTGACTGATGAGCTGCCCAACGTGCGAACAATACTGTTCGCGACCGTCGATCCACGTGATCTGATCGCCACGAATTGTCTTCAGATCCTGGCGGCCATTGCTACTCACCAATTGGCCGTCCTTGAAGATACCCTTCGTGTACATGTCGAGTACCTCGGAGAGCACCTTCTTACCGCGCTCCTCGCCAAGGAAGTGGTCGACCACGCATACGCCGTACGCGTCCATGTCGCGAATGACGTTGCGGCACATCTCGTCGAGCGCCAGGTCGCGGTTCTTGTGCGAGAAGGGTGGTCCGGCGCTCACCGGAAAGTCCTTGAAGCCGGCGGCGCGCGGCCGCACGATGTTCTCGCCGCTGATGGGGGTGGCGCGCCGTGCGGATTTCAGAGCGCGCTCCGTCGGCGTGCGAAGTTCGGCGCCGGAAGTGAATACCTCGTTCCTGGCGCCGTGAATGACTTCTTCGGAGCTGCTCTGCGGTGGTTGCAGCTCCTGCGGGTCCTGCTGGTGCTGGAGATCGGTGGTGCACGTTGTCTTGTGTTGTTTCCAGTCCTGCTTCTGGTGCTGGCGCGAACAGTAGTAGGACGAGTGGCAGCGGGCGCAGCGCAGTAGGTTATCGGAGAGGCCGCAGACGGCGCACGTCGCGGCGGGTACTGATTCCATTTTCGACTCGCTGGGACGTCGCGCTCGGCGGCTAGGGATCGCGCGAGTGGCGCGCTGACATTTGCGCCATATTGGAGTTCACCTTGCAAATGGTTGCAATTTACGCCGCGAGAGTCGAGCAGATTGAACAGCTGATTGCCAAAAACAGGCAAAACAATGCGTTACTACCGCCACCTACCAACGAGTTATAAAACTAATATAACTACTATTTTCTTCTGGCAGCGATCGGTAACTTCAAATAGTTCAGCGCATTCAAAACTGTGGCACACGGTCATTTTTATCCATTTATTGATTGCACATATCTCAACAACTAAAAGAACTGAAATGATTTTCTCCTGGTTTTGATTTCTTGATATGAATTTTCAACTGGTTGGTGCATTAAAAATAACAAGTTTTGATTCAATCAATAATAAAACATGCACGAAGAGTTGCCTAACTTAATAATATTAGGTAATATTAAAATAACATACACAAATTTGTAAATTTATTAGTATATTTATTTTAGTACCTCGAGAAATAATATTTCGTAAAGACACAATAAAAACATATTCAGAGACAACGAGAATTGTTAGTTTTGGGTCGTCTTGGTATCCTCCGTTATTTCGTTATTGTTGCTGTATTTAATTTGCATTAATTGATGATGAGAATCTTCCTAAATATTTTGTTATTCTTTATTCGTTTGCATTGGCGCATTGCATCGCACGAACCTCACGAATTAATATAATTTCTTAGACATTACATATTTTAATATGACTTTTATGAACATTAAACAATTCATCATTATAGATATTTTCATAATAATATACCATGTATGTAACACTCCGCGCTCTCATTTTTTCTCTGTGGGGGGAAGTGCACCGATATTGTTATATCACATTGAATAATAAATGTAATTTGAAGGTATTTCCATTTCGGTTCGCTTTTGCTCAATTATTTCATTCTCAAAATGTTCGTGTTTATTTACAATTTGTACAATATGCTAATATTTGTGCTACCGTTTTGTTACTGTCCGCATCGTAGAGTATTTCCATCGGAATGGAATCGATTCGTCCTCTCTACTTTCTCCTCGACGAAAATCGATAGAATTTTCAGTCGTGTGTGAAACAATCCTCAAAGATAAAATTCAGTCTAAGTAAACATTTGCGTAATAATTTTCATTTGTTACAAAAACGTGGCGCACATTTTTTCAACGTTTTGTTTCATTGCAATATCTTCGCTGCATATCAATATATAAAAATCTTCCTAGAGTATCTTTGGATATAATATTAATTTAATGTCCATTTACAAATTGCCTTTCCTACAATCTGAATACTTCCCGCCGCTCACCGCTCGCATTTCGACTAGATAAAAAATTATTAATCTTTAATAAGATATTTTGTTTAGTTTGCATTTTTGTTCATTTTTAATTGTTTTTAGTATTAATATAGATGATATATGTTCGTAGAGTCTCTTAACAATTACATTAATACGTTAGATTAGCTAAGTTATACATTAGTTTGCATCCCGTCGTTTGGTTGGTTTGAAAAATTTAATTACGCTTTGAAAATGGTTCGTTCCTTACTGAGTATGTTTGACAATATGTATGTTGTTCGTCATGCGGGCCCAAGAGGTCGCCCGTTGTACACCATGAACATTGATACGTTACTTCGATAATTACATCTAATTACGGAGAAGATATGGCGTGGGCAATAACAATAAAACGTAAAAAAGTTAATAAAATGTAAATATAAATCTAAATTAAATGATCAGAAGGGGCGTGCAAGTCCCAGTCGTCGATATGATAGATTCGTGATATTTAAGTATCGACAAAATGTCTCTAAGATTCACTGAGCTGTCAATGAAGTCATATGCGTTTTTCTCCCACGTTAAAAATTCACTTCGATAGTTTCTTTAAGCATTATTCGATTTATTGTCCTCGTTTCACTCTATTTACAAAATGGCGACCGCAGAGGGCGCCACTGGTTTAGACGCAGCTCTCCTGCTGGCAGCCCATGAGCGGCGTCCGCACCGTGACCACTTCGCGATGATACAGCCCTGGTTTCGACATTGGGAACAACGAAGAGACCGGAGAAACCACCGGTGATGATTTTACCGCTGCCGCTGTGACCGCCGGTGGCATGGCGTTGCCATTAGGTGGTTTCTTGCTGTGGTCTATTTGCGCATAGATGGTGGGCTCATCGCGGGCGCGAAGCGTGCCATATTGGTTGCCGCCATTTTTTGTAGCGTCGAGCGTGTTTGGACGAACGAGTGAAAGCTCAGCATAAGTTACTTCATCGGGAACCTGCCAGAAAATAAAAATCAATATATAATATAATATTGGCTTATATAAATATATTTTATGTGCGTTTATGTCCGTTAGATGGCTGTAGTTTTTGTAATCGTGCTGTATAAGCGCTCTAAGCTTCATTTGAAATGCGGAATCTGGATTTTATTACATATTTGAGAAGCGGAACGTAATGCAGAACGCGAATGTAATCCATCTTTCAATTTAGCTTCGGTGCGTTGCTGTGTTTGACATGAATAAAATACTAGCCGGAGATATTGCCGCTTTTATAGATTTCTTTCTGGCGCGCGTGCGTGTTTGCCCGCCCTGGCGAAAGAATCGCGCATTTAGTATTTATATTATTTCGGATTCGAAAGAGCTATTTTATTCGGGGCGTGCACCGCAATAATGCGCGCCGCCTGTCGAAGCCGCACGGCGCAAAATAGAAAACGAAGAGTCGCAAAAAAAAGTAGCGCTATCGTGGCGACAGTTCAAAAATTAAAGCCTTTGAAGCTGAAAGACGCAAGGCGATAAGACTCCCTCAGCGCCGCGCGACGGTGAGTAGCGTGAATAAAAAATCACTTACGCAAATCGAAAATTGGTTTGAACTGAGGCGCGCCGAGAGAGAAGAAGCAAAATCAAAACGCATTCGGAAAAACGGAATAACGACCCTAGAAAATACAAAAATCAAAAAACAAACATCTTAAAATTTTAAAATTATGAAAACATAAAAAAAAATGAAAAATAAATCGTGCTCGGTGAAAGGGTTAAACCTTTGCGTAGCATAGTATGCGATGTGCACATTAATTTTTGCAGGTGCCCTCGATTTTTTTGTATGTTTTGTGTGCTTAAATAAGGTTATGTCCGCGTGACATCCGTCATATTTCATCTGTGTAGAGGGCGCTCGGGATACCTACGTGCTGCGGCTGGTACGCGCGATCCCGGGCAATGTAAGCCTCGCTAAGTGGCGTAATCCGCTGGCCCTCGAAGTCGTTGCCCGTCGTCAGCAGGGCGTTATTCAGGCCGGGCGTTTGCACAGCTGACCCTAGCTGGTAGTCGGAGTCTGCGGAAATAAAAACTGATTTATACCGGCACGAACATGATTGGCGAGGTGGTTTTTTCTGCTGCTGCTGCGGCGTCGGTTTTGCATGATTTCCGCACCGCGCATACCTTTGTTTGCCGGCACGACGTCGGGATTCTTGTCGTCCTTTTCAAACAAATCCTCCGATTCGGAGCGCAGTGGCAGTGTGACCTTCTCTTTCACGGGCAGGAATCCAGGGCGTGATGCATGTGAACCTTCACGTTGAGCAGCGCGGACTTTCAACGCGCCAAGGATGATGATTGTGACCAATAGTAAAGCGGTTACTATTCCAATCAAGATACCCAGAACTGGTGCAATGTCGTATTGATCACGAGTTCCAAGAGACAAAACTAAAAAATAAACATTTAAATGTAAAATTTAAAAATTTAAAAATTTTCAATTTTTTACATACCAGTCTGTTTTTCTGCGACTTTCAACGTGAAACCTTCAAGAGTAACACCTTCACTCTTCCCTTTAGCATTCGCCGAATACACAATCATCCTCAGGATCTTCCCAGCTTCCAACCCACTCACAGTAAACAAAGGAAACTTCGCGGAGACATTCGCATGCAAAACATCATTCTGCTCATCGTAGACCTCCAACAAAAAATACTGCGGTTGCCCACCATCAAAACCCTCCACACATTCCACCTCCAAAGATTCAGAGGTTTGATTCAATATGGTGCAGTTAAATGGCGGATCGGGTTTCCCCGCAGCGATGATATGAAAAACACAGGGTTCCAACTGTCGCCCGGCCAGGTTGTTCGCCCAGCACATAACCGTACCGTAATCTAGTTCGGTAACAGGAGTGTAGGTCAAGGTCGAGGAGGAGTGATGGATGCCGGTGTTGAAGTTCGTCTGGGGGACGTCCACCGTCTCGGCGGTGTTGTTGAACGACCATTTGAAACTTTCCGGCGGCGGGAACGATTCCACTTCGCATAACACGCGAGCCTTCTCATGGCGACCCACGCCGTAGACCCGCTTTTGTTCAGGGCGACAAATTGGCTTATCTGGTTGTACAAAAAATAAAATAGAACAATTTTGGTCACTTGGATAATCCGCAGATACTTACACATAATTTTCAACTCCACTTGATTGCTGTCCCCGTCACCTTCGACGTTAGAAGCAACACAAGAATAATTCCCAGCTTGACTCCGAGTGACTCCTTGAAGGGCCAGATCACTATTGCTCATGATAACACCACCTTTTTGATTCTGCTGCATTATTTGACCCTGTAAGCAGTAGAAAAACATTCAAGTATGTCAAATAACGTTGGTATTAAAATACCAAGTCACGTTTTGTTTAAAATTTATTGCGCATTCAAAACGTCGAAACGTACAACTGTACAACAACAGAGCGCGCGCATTGTAAGCAAACATGGAAAACAATTCGACCCACTCTACGCGGAAGGGGAACGGGTTGCCTAAGACTCGAAGTGAGGAAATTCCACGCGTTTTCGCATGCTTCTCCGGAAGCAACCGTTTTAATATCGCCGAATAGATGTATCCATTTCTCAAGCTCAAGCAAACGCTCGTGCCACGCGTCGAACCCTTCCTAAGAAGGAAGGAGCAAAACCCAGAAACTGGGGATGATGGCGTGCCTTGTGTGGCCGACGACGAATTCCGCGCCGTCCGCAGCGGTCCGCATTTCATTTACATGAAAGTGTGAGCAATGCGACGCGGTTTCTAAACGTTTACAGGTACAACCGACGGAAGGACCAAGGACCAAGGACGAAGCTGTGGGAGTCATGCATTATGCGACACACGGCACAGGGACAGGGACAAACATTCCTTTTATAATGCGTCACCCAAAGGACAAAGACGCGCCGGAAAGGAAAGCAAAAGTTTCACGCAAGTTTTTACACGTCCAAGGTAAAGAATCCGCAGTGGAAATGTCAATGTTTGCTTAATTAATTGCCGCTTTTTTCGTGTTCTATTTGCACGGGGGTGAAAACGATGCGTGCGCACTTTATTTTACGGCCGATGTGATTTTTTATTGGCGGCATAAAAGTTTCCGGCTAAGTAAATGAAACTAAAGCGAAAAGTTGGCGAACAAAGTCCGGTTCTGAATGTGAAGATAGTCTTCCCCACCTCTTCCTAGAGAAGAGGAAGGAATGCAAGAAATGTACGCATCTCACGTTTCAGGCGTAATTACAAAGCACGCGAGCGCCCTCTGCAATATAATAAACAGAGCATCTTACGTTCACCATCATGGCCGCCATCACGACCATCATCACCATTGCCGTTGACATTATATGCTCCTTCATGTAGGTGTATGTGTGTGTGTAGTTGGTAGTTGTCGTCGAGTTAAAAGCTACATGTTGTTGACGTGCGCCCGAAATTGTCACAATATTTCAGATTGTGCCGACGCGCGGAATTACCGCAAGTTGGGGAACGACTAAACTTCGTTTATTAATTGTTGTTGTGCTCTTGTTGTGCGCCAGCAAGCATGTCTTGGAACAACCCTGATGAGTACACACATAGATGTGTGTGGTTGTGGTCTACGCCATCTTGAATCTTTTCAATGTGAGGTTATGAGATAAATATGAGTAATATTTCTTTCGCTAAAGTTTGACCAATGAAATTTTGATGTGAATCATGGAGTTGCATTGGTATTGTCGCCGGATATAAAACTATCGTGTGTATTATAGTCGAAAAGGAAAACATTTTTATAGATGTGCCAGTGAACTATATTTGCGCCGCGTGTATTATACGAGCATACATATAAACATAAATCAAAATTGCAGTGCAGCGCACGCTCGATGCGCGTGCAGTGGCCGTAAATCCTAAATTAAAAACTACAATTTTCGGAGTTTACGACCGAATCGTCCAGTTTTCTTCCGACGCCGCACTTTTATTTATAAGTTTTCTTTTCTCGCGCATTAAGCATTTCGCTCAGGTGTTTCGCCGAATGGGAGAAAATTGCTGCCGACAGCAATTTGCTAATGTATCTGCGATTATCTTTAGATATTCCAAATTCCGATCTAAAAAAAATCTAATCACGAAAGATGTCGACGTTTTTCTTTCTCGTCTCTTCTCGCCTGGATTTGCAAGATTTGAGTTCAGTTTATTTTCCGTATGGTTTTCTGCTTATTGCGCCCGCGGTCGCCTCTCGCCTTTCAGTCATATATTAGTTTTTATCGGTTCGGAGCTCGCGAGCTTGCGCCACACATACAAGTATAATATATCTGGTTTAGATTTGAAAAGGAGAACCCAAAACCGAGACCATAAAGAGAAGTGCCGGCGAATAGACACGCTTTTTCGCCATTGCGACTGCATTCAAGCAAAAGATTTTCCTTTTGAAGCGCGCCACTAACAACTTCTCATAAAAAGCAAAACAGAAATACTGTCAGTTACGACAAAAGCATTTAATTTGTTCGCGCGTTAGAAGAATGTGACACATCTCGGTGGGTGCAAGTGCTAAAAATGTTTTAGATGTTAACGTCAGCCGAGATTATTTACAGCGCCGGTATCTTCTTTTTAGTTTTGTGGGTCGTGGTAAAACGCTTCACCTAGTTTTATAATTGTACTACTGTCAAGCAGCGCTGGTATGCAACGCCGTCTCGAGGCTTTTACCACCCGTGTTTGCAAGACACGTTTGTGTGGGTGTACGTGTCACTGCGCTGGGACGCAGACCCGGAGTGTAAGTGGCTTTCCAGGCGGCGCTTTATCTTGTAACGCGAGGCGCGCCGAAGAAACGTCTTCGCGAAAACGAAACGGTCTTTGCATACGAAACACAACGAGCCCACATTTCGTGCAACGTCATTCAAAACGCTACCGCAAAATATCCTGCATTAAAAACCCAACAAAACAGCCACAACCACTGTGGATAATTAATCTTTTCGAGGACAATACACGAATGTCTAATTTTATCGCGTTTTGAGGTCGAATGTTGATTTTTGTGATTTATTTCGCTTCGAGAACTTTTGTTTTCAATTAGGAGCATCTTGTACGCGGGTTGATCTCATTGCCATTCAGCTTGTAGGGCAGTCCATTAGGAATTCCGCACGCTCATCCTGTTAGCGGTTAATTTTAAATCCGCTAAAGACGTCCCGAACGGATGCAGACGCCGCAAGACGCTTTGTCGGATTAGCGTGGACTTGAGTCTTTAGTCTCTGAGACAATCCGAACTGTCCTCGAACGACTAACCAACAAATGTGCGGATTGAAGTGTTAATTCCTGCCGATCAAGCATCAAACAGGTTATGTACGCGATTGTAAGTGAGGTTAGGTTGGCAATTTTTGTTCTGGCAGTAGTGCAGAAATTAAGAAGGGCAAAAGTTTAAATGAGCTTTAATCGAAAATCGATGCGAGTCGAGTTCTGCACGTCTCATTCGCCTCTCGAATGGGCAACCAGGCGCGCAAACAAACGCGAACTAAACGTCCGCTTGCCGAGGGCGGAATCGTCGACAGAATGGCAAACAAAGAAAAATTAATCCGTTTTTAAAAGTTTCGCCCCAGCTTACATTCGATAGAATTTTCCACTGCAAACAATTTCTTCACTAGTAATGAAACTTTTAAAAATTAAAAATAAAAAACATTGCCGGTTTTATTTCATAGATGTCGCTGATGAATAGCTCAAAATGTAGGGGTGAACAACGCATTGTCGTAATCGTGCGTATCGTCGCATCATCGAGTGGATTAATTATCGGCGCACCTTCGTAATCCTCGAGTTGATGTAATAATCATTAATTATATTAAAGGTTGGAAGTTGGAGGGCCTTTTCTACATCCAAGGTGGAGAATATCGATTACACTTCATAACAATTGATTCTCATGCGCGAGGGGTTGGTAATTTTCTGAATGGCGGGTGGTATTGATATTAATATTCCTATACATAATGGCCTTAATCTAATCAATCATTAAATGATCTATATGCTACCATAACCTCAAAATTATAGGTTATGTTTTTATTGAGTTTGTGAGGTTAGGTCGGTTTTTAATGCTTTGCTAGCTGTCAAAATGTTATTTTTCACTCTCTAGAGACATCCTGAGATTGCCCGTCGACATAAAACTGCAGGTCGCCATTGTCGTCGTCATTTCCGGGTGTGGAGATGCAATAAAAAGCGCGAGTCACAGGACATAAAAAGTACAGCAAGTAAGAAGCTGCTCCTGCTCGACGACCATAATATAATGCAAATAAGATCAGATTATTTCGACGTCGAGTGTGAAATCCAGAAGAATCGAGGTTTTCTTCTCGGATCTCTTGGACTAGCCTAACGGCGGGTATTAAATTTGAAGACGGCAGATAAGGCAAAGTGCAGCTCTCCGTGCGTTCATCGACGGCGTCTTCAAAAAGAAGTTAAAACAAGATACATAAAACTTGTTCGATTTAGGAAACGGCCGAGCGCGAAACTTCAAATATTGTTGCCCAAGGACCGAACGAACGACCCACTTCCACAGCAGATTGCATCTTGTAGAAAGAGAAGCGAGAAGCGAGTAGAGAAAGAAAAATAAGGTCGTTCTCCAAAGTTGGGTCGTGCCCCGTACCATTCATTCTTTCCAAGGTGGAGACGCAAACTTTTCAACGCGGTCTCGATGTTTATATTTGCAACTACACGCTGTATTACAGCGGAAACTCGACAACATCGAACTAGTTACGCAGGTGGGGCGCGTCGAAGAGAAGATGTAAAACGCAAGTGTGTTTAATGTATTTAACGTCGAAGCGTGTTTATCGGTATTCGACTACGAGTACATCTATATATGTGTATAGCACTTGCAAACTTGCCGATACGCTGATAACGCGAATTAATTATTACGTGTTGCGAGTAACTTTCCACTTTCCACTTTGCGCAAATTGCAAGGCGACAATTCTAATTCACCGCGATGCGAAAATTATTTCGACTCGACGTCAAAACGAGTTTAAACTTTGGAAGAAACGGTTCGTTATTTGCATTGCATCCGCGTGTAGTGTGTTGCCGCATCCGAAAAGAGAAACCCGCAACGAAAACGTAATTGCACTTCGTTAGACGCGTTTCGCGAGAAAACCTCAGGTTAACGCAATTTTCGCGCCGGGCGTTGAAGAGCCGAGTGCAAAGTTAAAATTAATTTGTCTTTCAATTAAAACGGAGCGCGCGAGTACAACACGGTGGCGCCACTAGTCTTCAAACTGTCATCGTGCGTGATTGTCACGCGCGCGCACTTAAAACTGCGTGAAATATTGAATGCGATGTAATGACACGATGACTTAGCGCTGAATAAACATGAGTACAATTCAACGTCGAATAAGAATGAGGTGAAGAATTGAAATTCGACGCGCGGGTGTGTGTTGAAAATGGAAAACGAAAGTTTAACTTACGTTGTGCTTCCAGAGAACTTTGTACGCCCACGGGTTTGCGTTCACTTTGCATTCGAAGTAGACGTCGTCGCCCTCCTCGATGTCGTCCGGATTCAGATTAGAGCCCAGCGAGAGGTGAAGAATCGGCAGATCTGCAAAGCTCAACTCCTCAACACAAAGCAACCATTTCCAATGTTTTCAATACGCCGCCGGCGATAATCCGAGGCGGCGGAAGTCTTTTTTTCGGTTTTCTCGTCGCCTCATCATCGGCGGCGTACCGGAAGCCAAAGAAAGCGTCTCGCCGGATGTTTACCGATATTTGATTCATTCTGAGATTTTTTCGCGCGGAAATTCCAAGGTGGAGAGCAAAAAAAAGTTTCTGTATGCGTCAAAATCCGCGTGTGTGGCGAAAAGCCACACTCAAATAACTTTCCTTGCGGCTGATAATATATAGATTGAGAATCGCGCAAATATCGCCGGAGTTGTGATCGTGCCAAAGATTAAAAGTGTTTTTCACGTTCACCCTACTCCAGCAGAGTCAAATCATCACAATTCACCGTCGGCGCCTCCACCAAAATAGTAAAAGCGATTTCTTTTCTTTCAGACAAACGAAAAGAAAATAAAACCGTTGAGTCTAGTTTTAGTTCCATTGTTGAACACTTGCATCCATGGCACGATCACGTTTGCATCGTTCGTTAAAAGGTGTTTACCGAAAGATAAAGATTTCGGACGCGCGGAGTTTATTAGCGATAAATCGCACCGGGATATCGTAAAACGAAGGAAAGAAGACATTACTCAGCGGGTAATGTAAGCGCTACTCACAGAAAATGTTTAGTTTAATGGAGGATTCTTCCATGCCGTTCTGCACGAGATGATTGACAGCACGACATGTCAATGTGCGGCCATTGTCCAGACGTGACGGCATGAATGTCAATGTCGACGTGCTTGAGTTACCATCAAGTGAATCCTGAAATAAGAAAAAAAATTAAATTAATTTACTTGAAAGTAGTTTTTATTGTTTTTTATTTTTTAGTGAGTAATGAGGAGAGATTAAAATTACATAAACTTGTAACCCTTATGAAACGAAACGAAACGAAAAAAAGAAAAACGCGCACAAAGCGAGTTTAATTCATTGTATATGTAGATTGTTAGCGCAGTTGGAATGAACACGAATGCAACTAATTTGAAAGTAATGAAGATTCATTAATCTCGCGCCGCCGTGCGACGTTTGCGCGCTGAATGAAAAAGTTATTTAACAAGCACACAAAAACAAACAGAACTAGAAATAAGCTAAATGCGGCAAACAAAAATTAAACACTGGAAACAAAAAAGTTGACGAAGCTTCATAAACGTCTGTTACACACTGCAAAGCTCAAACATTTTATTTTACATAATTAGTTTGTATGCACTTTAATTAGCCTCGAGTGTATATCAAAATATTACTAATAAAAAATACATAGTTGAATTTATTTCATTTGTCAATTTTTGAAATATATTCACATGCGCAATATAAAAACGGTTTCCATTTTTATAATATTAATAAAAATTTATACGTTGCGCACCGGGAGCGGAAACAAGCGCACACGGAGGGGTTGGCAAACGAATAAAAATAAATAACAAGTTCGGAAGCGTGGGAGCGCTTTGAAAAGTTTTTAACCATCCGAGCGACAACTCCAACTACCACACTTACATCTCGACGACAGATTTTGCGCTGTTTTATTGGATTTTATTTTATTGCCCGCCCCTTCCGCCCCACAAATTGCACCGAAATATCTAGGAGAATGTTGTTTCAAGGAACGTTTATTGCAGAGCTGAAAATTGCTATGATTATCTCCTCTTTAGAATGACAGCGGCGCAAATCCAGCATGTGCGATAAATTTTCATCCGCGTCGCTCAATAAAATATGTTTGCCATTTTCATAACAATAACACATTCGTCGCGATGAGCGACAGCGCGAATCCGATCCGCGCCCCAGATACCTCCGCGCACTCCCCGCGCGATCGATGGATTTCCATTCATGTCGCGCGCGTTCACGCATTGTTTGCTTTTATATAATTCACTTGACGCGAGTGACAATGGCGTCGAAAAATGAACAATGGCTTTTAAAATAAAATGCAAAAAATGAATACAAATAGAGTAGAATTTATAGAATAGGTTGCATACAGGGTGTATCAAGTGATGAAAATATATATTTTTCTATTTTCATATTTAAAATGACATTTTTTATCACGGATTGCCAAAGTCGTGACTAAAGTACTTTAGACACGGGTTTTAGTCACGGGGTGGAGCTTGCGCATGCGCATAAAGTGGAAGTAGAAAAAAATAGCGTAAGCATCACGTCGCTAATCGTTGATAAAATGCCACTTAGCGCACTTGATATTTAATTTTCTTTTTTTTTTCTTTTTTTGTGACAGATTTAATTTTATAAATAAATCACAACTGATTGGAGCACTTAAATCAGTAGGTAATTTAAAGTGTAAGTAAACGTTCTCACCACTTGAGTGTGATTAAACATGTAGGGTTTCATTTCCTTGTTGTCCATCCACCAGGTGATTTTCGCCGGAGGGCGTGACCCGAACGTTTGGCACGCGATCTCGTACTTTCGGTCGGCGGAGAATGGATTGTTGCTGCTCAATATTTCAGCTTTCAGCGGCCGAACTGAAACATATAAAAACACAAAAATATGAAAAAAAGTCATTAGAATCACTTAGTGTTATATTATAACGCCATCTAGTGAAAAACTATCCAACTAAATGCTTATTTCCTTCCCTTTTGTTTGCGCGCCGTTTGTTTATTTATTTGTTGTGTCGATTTGTGATTTGTCGATTTTCCTCAGTAAATTTGTTGACAAACGACCGCGCGACGCACGATGCGCAAACGCAAACAGACATTAGAAACGCTACGAAAACAAGCGATCGCAAACAGCGAAAACAAACACACTGCGGGAGAAATACAAATATCACCGAAATGTCGGAAATAAATGACTAAAAGCGACGAGGGAATGAATGGTCAAAAGCGACCGGCGCAGACGGAAAATCATATCGCGAACAAAAAGCGAAAATTAATTCAGAAACTAAATTGGCCCCGGAATAAATTTAGCAAAATTTCAAATCGAAAACGATTGTAATGATTTGCGTGCAACCGAATCACACAAAATTTAATTTGCTTTAATTTAGAAAACGGATTTAATTAGTTAGATTAATTAAACAAATAATTTCGAATGCACAGATTGAAAAAGCTTAATGTTTGTGGCGTTTTATGCACTCGCCATAAAATTACAATTGAATGCATACACATATTACACAACAAACTGAACATAATCAATTATACGAATTATGTTATTTCGGTGCGAGTCAAGAGCAGGCTCATTAGTAACGCTTGCAGTAAAATGGCGGCGTGAGTAGGTAATGCGCTGTGCAAATATTTTTATATTCACTACCCGCCGGCATAATAATAATGCGCTGATAACGCGGAGGGTGGAAATTTAACAAACAAACTAACGTGTTGTACGCAAATTTGACGTTTGAATTCAACGAGGCGGCAATTAAAAATCGATTAGCAAGTACCTACTTAGTTTACTCAAGTCACATATAACAACAGTGAAAAAAGAACAAATAATTAATTGGTCATTAAATAACTTTCTTAGAAAAATGTTTTTTTTAGCAGTTTTTCGTATTTTTTTGTCAAAAAACACATTTTTCTACCTCCATCTTTAAATTTTAGTCGTGACTAAAGTATTTTTTTGTACTTTCACCTTTAAAGCGATACTTTTTTCATGGTTTTGAGACACAAAAAGTGACAATTTAATCACGGATAGCTAAAACCGTGTCTAAAGTACTTTAGTAATGGGATGGAGCTGGCGTCTGCGTATTTGCCTAGTTTTAAAATACAAAAGTTCATATTTTGAAACTTAACGTAAAAATTCAGTGGATATAGAAAAAAAAAACGTAAGCATCTCGTTGCTAAATGTGGCTAAAGTGTCACTTCGCGCACTTGATACTTAATATATTATATTATTACAAAAAAAAACAAAATTTGTATTTTTCGCATTTTCAATTATATTTTTGCTTCTTTTATACCAAATAACTAAATGCGCACTTGCTCCACTTCATCTTACATGTATTTCTCCGTGGGTGTAAGTACTTCTGAGTCGATCCGAACCGAAAACTCTAAACTCAAGCGGTTTCCCTCGCCGCGAAAAGAGATCGGGATAATGTAGTGTATTTAAATAGCTGCTTAAGTTATAAAACACGAACCTGCATCTGCTCGAGCGCGCTCTCCAACATGATCACAACCACGACCGCAAAACTGAGAGTCTAGAACTTGGCGCGCTCCAGAAGATGATATTTCTATTGTATTTTGTGCTATACTATAGCTACGCGAGTTGCTCAGTGTGTGTGTGGGTGTAAGAAAACGACCATTAGAGCGCCGGCAACAAGCGAACGCGACTAATAACGCATGCAACACATGCTGCTTTCCTTCGTGGCGAAGGCGCCGGGCTACCGCGTTTAATAAATAATATCAAAAGAAGGACGCAATCGATATTTGCACACTTTGATGTTTTCTATCCACTTACGTCGGTCAATCATTTTTATGTTTTGAAATTTTTAACAATATTATTCAGGGGTTATTGACATGGGTTGAGTTGATGTTGAATATTGAAGAGAAATTCATTAATTTTTATATGATTTCTAAGAATTGAAGGAAAGATATAAATAATTTAAAATATTTTATTTAAAAAAATAAGAGACGCTATTGATTCACTGTAGCGCCTTCTAGACTCGAATTATATAACTGTGACTATAATTGAAGCAGTATATCAACTTTCATCCCTAATTTAACACCCTTCTAGTTATATATTTGCAACAAAAAGAAGTCTAAGCTATTTTCTTAGCTAATAAATATATTTATACCAAATTTTATCAAAATTGCTTCACAGATTTTTGCGTAAAAGCGAAACAAACATACAAAACACAAAAATTTGCATTTAAATTATCTGTTTTGATGTAGTAAATTAATAAAAATGTTACTGAATACAAATAAATTTGTTATATAAATAAAATTAAACTTAAAAACAAATTTATTGGCTTTTGCTGTTGGTGGTTCTGAAAGACTCGCCGTCGAGTGCTTTGATGACATAATGACGTAATGAAAACATTAACTTTTCCCGCAGCACCCGACGTTCACGTGCGCGGCGCGGACAAAAGTAAACACAGCATAATTCAATATACTAAATTCCCGTTCCGGTGCACTTGCAGTACGAGCGCAAACATTCGAGAAGTGCAACGCGTAAATTCATCACAACCGGCAAACAGACTTCTAATTCCAGCGCATGCGACTGACTGCAGCAGCGCGCCAGGTTGCGACACAACGTTTTAAAATATTTATTATGCAGAAAAAGGACGCGCGCACGCCGGTTGTGAATAAAATTAGTTCGTCGCCGGCAGCCGGACCACGACCGCAAAATTTCGAAAGAACTTTCGGACTTTCGGGAAACAGTTCCGTTTCGCTCCTCGCATCGGTTTCACTTTGGGCGGCACAAAGCGCCAACGTTCGTGTCGCGGCAATGCACACACACAATTTCAAAAATGATTAATTAAAAGTAGAAAATGTACTCGTTCTACGAGTACACTCGGCGTGGGACCACGGTCACGTTTTCGTAGAAATGTGTACCCGGTTAGAAATTAATTCGAAATTAAATACTAGCTTGCAAAACACAACGCTCCTGCATTTGCGGTTGGAAAAAATGTTATACCCACTTAAGGGCAGACGTAAAGGTGAACTAATTAATTAACTTTTAATTAAAACTCGTACAAAAAGTAAATGCAGAAAAAATTAAGTGTCTAGATGTTTTTATTTTGCAGGACTTAATTTTCCGGGTAATGATCTTGACATATAAAAAAGTAATTAATGCTTTAATACCCACACACTGGTTTAGTTTAGGGTCAAATGTGAAAAGAACCCAAAAGATTCCAATTCAGATTGCACACAAAAGGATAAAACACAAAAATCAGTTAAAAACAAGTTTTTTAAGTAAAAAAATTACAAAAATGGTATAAACGGCATTTTAAGAAAACTGAAGCCTGTGATTAAAGTACTTTAGTCATGACCGTGACTAAAGTGCCACTTTTTGTGTTTCAAAACCGTGGAAAAAGTGAAAGTAGAAAAAAAATACTTTTAGTTTGGTTTTGACTTTGAAAATAATAATAAAAAAAAAAGGTTTTAGCTGTAGCTGTAGCGAATTAAACAATTGGGAAATTCGTGATTCAAGATTGTTAATTTAAGATAGCAGGGTGAATGCGTCGTGCTTCAAGTTGGAACTTCAATTCCAAATCTTGAGATGTGCGTCTGATGTACGCGAGGCAAGAAAAAAAAGCGAAACGAACTGGAAACTGGAACGAAACGAGCAACGAGCGTGGAAAAATAAATTAAGTACTTCAGCGTGTGAAAGGCGACGTGCAGCGGCGCGCGAAAGACAGCGGCAGTCGAAAAGCTGATCGGCGCCCTCGCGGCCGAGGGTTAATTGGTATGCGCGCGTCGAGCGCGGTATCGAAATCGAATCGGCGCGCCATTATCTCGTCATTAAATGAGCGAATATTTATAGATAGATAATCAGAGTTTCTCTGTCAAGAAAAGAAATCATTTACTTTTTACACAACTCGTATTTATAGTCAAAACTAATTAAGAAAATAAAAATAAAAAGTGTTTAGTTAATTACTAATTAAATTAATTAGGTTAAAATGTAGCAATCGCTCTGTACTCACTCTGTTGAAAAAAGAAATTGAACGCGGCAAATTCCGATGGCGCGCGCGCGTAGATGCAAATTTCCAATTAATGCAATTACACCGACGTCGCGTCCGCATTAAATCAACACCGAAAACCATTAATTCATAATTACGCTCGCTGGACTCGCGCTTTGTGTCCGCGTAAGCAAACATTTTTCGCGCGACGCGCAGCGGATTACCCAATCCGAAGCACGCGCGCGCATGTATCGATATCAAACGAATTCCATTAAAACGTCGAAATTAATTAAACTTTTGCGCGCACCAGATTTATTTATTGCGACAGAATATTAATAACAAACATGGCTTATTTCCACCAGCCCAACTAGTACATGAGTTACAACATCAAATAATAATTAAATACTTTTGTTATAGATTTCAAACAAATTACAAAAATTTCATTTGAAATTTTCCTGTGTGTGAGTGTGAGTGTTGGGTATTGGTTGGGGATGTATTCGATGCGTTTCGAATGCGTGTTTGAAACATTCCAACTTTTTTAGATATTTAAATGTCGTTCCGCTCGTTCGAATGGCATTTGTGCTCGCAAAGTGTAATATCCACACTTTGGAGGCTCTCCACGCGCTCGCCGCTCGTTTGAAAACAGAGGGAATGCCAAAGGGAGAATGCGGGGAAGTGCGCACGCGAATGCCGATGGAGGAGCCCTTTCAAGTTGCGCTCAAGAGCCAGCCATCCTGCCGGCTCACAGAATGTCAACTGGTGCTGGTGTGAACATTGTGTCGACAAACGCCACCCAAAAATACAAACAGCACACAAAAAACGCATTTTTGTACCATTAGTGCAGTATAATCAGTTTCAATACTACACTTTATTCACGCTAATACTATGATTGACTAAAACAGTGATTTTTGGTTGTCA